GTCATGAGGGTATTGAAGGGTATAAGATAGGTGAGGGTGTGAATGTGATGTGTGGATGTGTGGAGGGGTGAATGAAATGTGTGGGTGTGTAGGAGTGTGGAAGTGATGCGTGGACTTACAATGGTATAGACGGAATGTGTGATTATATGAGGGTAGAGTGTGATGTGTGGTTGCATTGGCATCTTGTGCATAGCATTGAATATGATGGTGTGTGAATTATTAAAAAAATTGAGGTGTCGTATGTGAATCCCTCGCATGATCCCCGTTTCTTTTTCCTATTCATTGCTTGTAAGGCATGTAATTATTTACCGTGCTTGAGGAGATGCCACTTAGGTATTCTCTACTGAGCCTTGTGCTCACTCCTCTACTTATTATCATTTTTCAGGGATTGAAGATGAGCCGGTGAATAATATACATCCATGGATATTAATGTAAATAGGACTTCACTTTTATTTTTACCAAAGCTATGTAAATTTTGGCCATAGAGCCTTACTCTTATATTTAATTCCTTAAAAATTTGAATAAAATGAGACTTTTGTAATTTGGTCTTTAAATGATGTATTGGACTTGTATTTGGGATGCAATTAAATATAATCTCACAAAATCCTTCTTGGTGCATTTTCTTGGAACGTGTTCTGTATCATTCAAAAAATTTATTACCAATATTGTTATCGTATTGGGTTTTGAATTGTATATAAATACGTACACGGGTAATTGGGTGATTGGTTATCAAAGTTGGTGTATTTGGGACAGTGGGAATTGTGAGTGTGGATAACCCAAAACCAGTTGACGTATAGCGTGAACGTGTATGGTGAACCAATCGACGTGTAGCGTGAACCAATCGACGTGTAGCGTGAACCGGTCGACGTATAATGTGAATCAGTTGACCGGTATCCTGACAGAGAGTTTGTGACTGTACACTTCCCAAACCAGTCGACGTGTACATCCCACATGTCGACCGGTATCTCGGCAGTGGTTGTCATTACTGTTCATGTCCCAAACCAGTCGACGTATAAGGAGTATACGTCGATCGATTCTGCCTTTTCATGTAATTACCAATTTAAGTTCTTAAAATTACACTTTGCCATCACTTGAAGTTGAAATTAATTATTTTTATGACCCAATTAAATGCCATAATTATATTATTGCCCCACAAAGACTATTTTACCTCGGACCTCATTTTAATTATTATATGATGCAAGTAAATGGCCATATTACCCTTTGAGTCTTAAATTATTGAATTGGGGCAAATTACCATTTTGTCCTTTTTGGACCTTGATAATTAAATTTAACGTGAAAAGACCGTTTTACCCTCGAATAATTTTGGGTCGGGTAAGGACCCGTTTAATGATCCGGATCCAGTGGATTCGGGTCGTTACAAGAACAATGGAATTGGTCTCTTAAATAGATTAGGCGATTGTTGGAAGGTAATAATCACCCATTTCTTTGGATTCTTTGGTGCCTCAATAAAGAGGACTTTCAACAACAATGGAGGAATAGATGAATGGAGCAAAAGAGAACTACACAAGCAATATAACTTAATTCCAAAAACGATAAAACCTACAAAATAATAACGGATGGGACACAACCAAGCGCTCACTTTATTTCATAAGTATATATATATATTTTTCCTAATTGGCACTCACACCCCCTTCAAACAATTATTTGCACCCAGTAGAAATCAATGCTAAAACCCGAAACTTCATGAGGCAAAGATCCAAATTAACCTTTTGGAACTAAACCAACTCTTTGAAATTCATAAGTAGAATTTTTATACAAGAATAAAAATTTACTATAACACTAATCATTTGAAAAGTAGTAAAGTAGAAGTAAAGTACAAAAAAATTGAGAATATAATGACTCCATCTTCTAATATCTATACCTAGGAAATTTTTAGAAAGTAAATGCTGATGTTAGGTCGTAAATCACTATAATGACTTCATCTTGACTCTATCTTTATTTATATCGAAGCACATAGGAGTTGTGTAACAATCACTTTGAATTTGAAACAGGTTATATTCTCTCTTATTTCTTTCTCATGCTGCTACGTGACCATAATAGATTTCTTCTTCCTTCATTATTTGAAAATCAATTTGTAAATTGGTGATTCACCTATAAGAGTTTATTACAATTTCTTTTTTTCTTCGACTTTATTCATTATACCAAGAGTTGAAGAATAAGAAAATAAAGAAAATAAAAAAGGATGAGCTCTTAATTGGGAGGACCGCAGGATGAAGTTGCACAACGCGCACGACACGGTTCAATAGAGAAGGACACTACTTTTCCAACTATTTGATTAACCAAATCTTTCATTGGTAACAGGATGAAGAAAATAAAAAAGGATGAGCTCTTAATTGGGAGGACTGCAGGATGAAGTTGCACAACACGCACGACACGGTTCATTTGAAAAGGACACTACTTTTCCAACTATCTCATTAACCAAATCTTTCTTTGTGTTGTTGTTTTCTTTGTGTTGTTGGTGTTAAAAAAAAAAAAATCTTTCATTGGTGTGATATGTCAAATCATGTTCAAGTTTTACTTGCAAGTTGTTGCATACACCTATCTAAATCAAAATAACATTCAAAAATATTTCTTTTTGCTTAATGTGTGCGCGTGTCATGAACTCATGACATAATTGATCAAAATTTAGATGTCTATCCATTGTTCTAATATAATTCACACGAGCACCACGAGGGATTAAACAAATATACAGACAAAGATGGGGGGACACAAATCTCCTCACGACATGCTATTGCTTATATTTATATATTATATATCTCCAATGGTTTCTGATCTCATGAGCTGTTTATTTTACTTGTCCCTTTTTGGCATGTGGGGACATGATGTTGAAGCAAAATGACAAAAACAAATCGCAAAGCAGCTAAAACATTTATATTTTAATAAAGAATTAATTACAATAAAACCCTTTGATATTTTTCATAATAATAGGCATATATAAGTTGGGCTTTTTTTGAATAATGACACCCCTGTCAGAAATTGCATCCAAATAGGCCCTTAAGAGGTGTGAAAAGTCAAGATTGCCGTTCAATATTTTATTAATTTAAATTAAAAAATAATCAAAACTCCTAAATGACGTTTTTGCCCTTGGTATATTATCAGTATACGTCACCACCTCTAACCTCTCACCTTCTCTAACCATAATCTCTCAAACCTTAACCCTAACAAACCCAACCCATGCTCCCTCCATTAAACCCACCACCAAATACCTAGACCTCTCCACCCCTAAATCCCACACCACCATTGTTGCCGCTGCCACCACCAAAAAATTCGTCGTTGTTGAACCCTTGGATCCCGTCGCCGCCACCACCAAAAAATCCATCGTTGTTGAACTGTCAGGTCTGGCCGCCGCCACCACCACCAAAAATACACATTGTTGAACCCTCAGATCTGGCCGCCGCCGCCACCACTAAAAATCCGCGTCATTGAACCCTCATATCTGGCCGCCGCTACCGTCACCACCAAAAATCCGCGTTGTTGAACCCTCGAATCTGGCCACTGAATTGGGTGGGAATTTGGACGCATCAAATTGGGTCATCGTTGCTAAAGAGGGAGACGAGAGGCCCATCCCTGTGATGGCCACATTCTTCTTAATTTGGATCATTCTCGTGCTTAGGGTGAAGGTTGTGGTGGTGTTGACACCACCTCCGCCTTCGCCTCGGCCATCGTCAAAGTTTAGGACCTTATATATATATATATATATATATATATATATATATATATATTGAAGATATGGTGTTTGAAACTGATGGTGTGTGTGTGTGTGTGTGTGTGTGTGTGTGTGTGTTGAAGATTTGGATTTTGAATAGTGAAGTGGTCGTGATGGTGGTGGTGATAGAGGTGGTGGTAATGGACGGTATGGAGGAGAAGGGAAATTTTTGGGTTTTGTTTTTTTGTTTTTATTTTTTTATTATACAAAGTTAGAAGGGTAATTTTATTATTTAAATGAGTTAATTGATAGTTCAAAAGGGCAACAATGTAAATTCTTTAAGTGGCAGAGGTGGCAGGTGATAGTTGGGATGCCTTTGTTAACTTTATTAAACTTGAGGGATTGTTATTGTTTAAAAAAAGCCCAACTTATATATGGCTGTCATTATGACAAATCTCAGAAGGTATCATTGTAATTAACCCTTTAATAAATGGATGTTCACTAATTTTCTTTAATAATAAAAAATATTAACTACTCATTGGTCGAATACCCAATATTTCTCGAGAACAAATTATGAGAACTTTGGGTACCGAATATTTTCTCCAAAGAACAAAGATAATAATAATAAATTTACTCAAATCTAAAAATTTATATAAGGAGGGACAAATTTATATTGAGGGGTTTTTTCATAATTTGAGTTGGGCAATTTTAAAATTTTATGGGTATAAATGCAAAAAAGTATAAATTTAGGTATGTAAAATGCAATAATAAAATTTTTTAGTGGGGCATCCGCCCCCAATAGGTGGAAGAGGGTTGGAGAAAAAAGAAGAAGGAAGAAATAAATTTCTTTGGCTTGTTATAAATAAAATAAGGAGATAAGAGAAAAGATAATGTATCATCTTTCGTCCTTCACAAATTTTTATACTCCAAATATAAACGAAAAATAAGAAGGAAGAAAGACAAGACTGTTATAAATATTTTTAAATTCAACCAAACAAAAAGAAAGAATGATGCAATCTCTTCTCTAGGAATGTTCATTCATCTCTTCTTCTCTTTATTTCATTTAATTTTTATTTTTATTTTTATTTTTATGAGCATTAGTAATGTACCACTTTTTTGTATTTTTTTTTATAACCCAAATGGCGCAAATGTTAGTACTTGATTATCATGAATTCAACCTATCATCAAAAAATAAAATTTAATTGAATGAAGGACAATAATAAAATTTTAAGCAAATTTATAATAAAATTTGAGTTCATTTATCACCTCCCTTACATTATATACAATGGTCTCATTCTAGTCCTCGATAATGCTAACAAACTCAATTGCAACTTTTTATTGAACTCCAAGTTTGATTTCTTTTTGACATTTTTATAAACTGCGCGAGCCTCACGCGGGCTTAATACCTCTACAAGTAGTATAAACAAAGATGACCATTCCCAAATCTCCTTAGAGTAAGACACCATCAAAAAAATGGATTTCCTAAGCTTCGTATTGTACTTCTTGTTCTCCTTAACTTTACTTCAAGGCCTCTTATCCCTAGCAAAAGTAACCAAAAACAAAGGCAGAAAGCTCCCACCGGGACCGGTCCCATTACCGGTGATCGGAAACCTCCTCAAACTCGGCGACCAACCCCACAAGTCCCTCGCCGAGCTCGCCAAAGTCCATGGCCCAATCATGTCCCTAAAACTAGGCCGAATCACCACAGTGGTCTTCACCTCCTCAGACATGGCCAAAGAAGTCCTCCAAAAGCAGGACCTTGCCTTCTCGAGCCGGTCCATCCCGGATGCCATCCGTGCCCATAACCAGTTCCAGTACTCCGTTGTCTGGTTACCAGTCGCCACCCAATGGCGAAGCCTAAGAAAAATCTTGAATTCAAATATTTTTTCCGGTAGCAGGCTCGACGCAAACCAACATCTCCGGTACAAGAAGGTGCAGGAGCTGATTGGGTACGTTCGGAAGAGCAGTAATTCGGGTGTGGCAGTGGACATAGGCCGAGCGGCCTTCAGGACTTCGCTCAACTTGCTGTCCAACACCATTTTCTCGGTGGACTTGGCCGACCCCTTTGATGACTCGGCCAAGGAGTTTAAGGACTTGGTGTGGAACATAATGGTGGAGGCTGGTAAGCCTAACTTGGTGGACTATTTTCCGGTGCTCGAAAAGGTCGATCCCCAAGGCATTAGGCGGCGAATGACGGTTCATTTTGGGAAGGTGCTGCAGATGTTTGGGAAGTTGATCAATAAGAGGTTGGAGTTGAGGAGAATCAAGAATGCTATCACTAGCAATGATGTGTTGGATGTGCTTCTCAATATAGAAAATAGTGGTGATGAGATTGATAGGAATCATATTGAGCGTATGTGTTTGGTTAGTACTCTTTTCTCCTTCCTTTCTCATTACTAATTATCATTCGCTAATGCATTCTCTACTTGACAACACATTTCATGATGCATCTTTCTTGGGTGTTTCAGTCGTGTCTAACATGTGTTATATCTCACGTATTGAATTTTTGAGTGTTTGATACTGTCACGACATCTCTAGAAGAAGGGTCATACTTCCTAAAAAAAATTTCCTTTCTGGCAACGATATGAGATGAGAGTTTTTATGGTTAGACTATCCACAAGACGTAATAAATGGGATAAGTTTAGTGGTCTTAATGAGATTGTTCACCAACATTTGTTATGAACATGTTCGAAGGGTTCTGAGTCATGTGTTATTCTGACTTTGACTCTTAGTTATTGAAATTAAAATTTTTGTTTGAACTCAACTCATTCATTTACCGACAATATTAATCTACTAATTGAATAAGTGATTCCTACTGATTGTTTATTTGATCCAATCACAAATATTCACTTAATATGTAGTTACAAAATTGGGCTAGTATTGAATAAGGAAAACAAAGACTGTGACTTTACTTAATAGTGAAGACGAACTAGACTCTTATTCACTCGATTAAACTTTTCATGAATAGTTTGGTTTATTTAAAACCCTAGTAATGGCGCACGTTTGATGGCATAATATATATATATATAGTGACTTTAAAATCTTCGTAATGGCATTTGGTGGCATATATAAGTATATAACAGACAGTGACTTTAAAACCCTAGTAATGACGTTTGGTGGCATATATAATTAATAGATAGTGACTTTAGCAATTGTATTCTTAATAATGGAGTTTCTCCACACCACAACCTTTTTTACAGGACTTATTTGTCGCGGGGACTGACACAACTTCAAGTACACTGGAATGGGCAATGGCAGAGGTGTTGCACAATCCAGAGACGCTAGTGAAAGCCAAAGCAGAGCTCGAAGAAACCATAGGCAAAGGCAAAGCAGTAGAAGAATCAGACATCGCGCGTCTACCATACTTGGGATCAATTATTAAAGAGACTTTAAGGCTCCACCCACCAGTCCCATTCCTAATCCCTCGCAGAGTTGAAGAAGACTGTGAAGTCTCAGGCTTCACAGTGCCCAAGGGGTCACAGGTGCTAGTAAATGCATGGGCAATAGGCCGTGACCCTACCATTTGGGACAGTGCCACATCGTTCATTCCCGAAAGGTTCTTGAACTCGGAAATCGATGTCCGAGGCCGGGATTTTGAGGTGATACCATTTGGTGCTGGCAGGAGAATATGTCCTGGTTTGCCGTTGGCAATAAGGATGGTGCCGGTGATGTTGGGGTCACTGTTGAACTCGTTTGATTGGAAGCTTGAAGGTGGGATTGCACCAAAGGACTTGGACATGGAGGAGAAGTTTGGCATCACTTTGCAAAAGGCTCAGCCTCTTCGTGCTGTCCCTGTCCTCATTTAAAATTGATGTTTTTTCACTTTTGTATTTTTCATAAGGCCGGCACAAGTTTGTAGCAGTATTTAATTAATCTGGCCATAAGTGGGAAATATGTTGCATGTTTAAGTTTTAATAACTTCTAAGAAATATTTTGCCCCTAAGTGGAAAGTACGTTGATACTGCAAATTCTTTGCCTTGATATTGGAAGGACATGTTGGGAAAATGCACAAAAAAATTAAACTTTTTTTTTTGACACTTAGTAATGACTTTTCCGATTTGAAAATACAAGAAAATAACACTTGGTAATGACTTTTCCGATTTGAAAATCAGATACGTGTTTTGATCAACTAAGTAAATCAAGGGAATAATTGATCCTTGACAAGAGAGACGCCAAGAATTACTTACAAAAACCTAGCTGCAAGAAAAAAATAGTCATGGCACAACTTTCTGATTTCAATTTCAAAAATATTGAAATAATGGGTATAGAAATCATTGGTTTATAATTATTAAAAATAGATTGGTTTAACAAACCAGGTATATTCAAGGTGAATTTCACCAATAGTCTCAATAAGAAAAGTTTTGAAAGACTTTTTTTTTGAATGGTAAGACGAAAAACACACTGTTTTCACATTTTTAAACTTTTTAAAAATAATTCATCTATAATTTAAAAAAGAAAATAATTATAAAACCAATTAATAAGAGAAGAACTAAGTCAGCGCATACCACGTTGGTAATGTCAAATGAAAATTTAGTATTAGGGAGGACCAATTGTCGAGAACCTGATAAAGTGGTGTGGTAGCAAAATGTTGCTAGTGCTGGACTTTGTACGCTTGATGGTGTGGACAAAGGAAGATCTGTAACTTCATAAGAAAAACGTTGCAAACTCTGATTTTAGATCAAAGCCAAACCATCATGACAACAACCTCCTTGTGCCTTTTCAACATTGTATTCCTAAATTTCTTCTCATAATTATGATTGTAAATTGTTTGACTGTCTTTCTGAAAAGTAACGAGTGATTTCTCACATGAAATCTTTTGAATTTTCCCAAAATAATTTTCCTTACCATAAAGCCTGCCCCGAGACTAAAAGTCGTATTATAAATTTGAATTGAATTCCGACAGTCTTTGTATGACAAGGAGAGCTAGTTGTTGGATAGAGGGAAAACTAAGGCCAATGGAAAACAAATACAACAATAACGACCCAAAAAAAAGAGAGTAAAATAAACAAATTGTTTTTTATTTTATATAGCAGATGTTTCTCGATGGTTTAGTGAGTTAATGCCTTCGATAAACTTTGAAATGCCAAAATTCGACTTCCTGCATTTACTAATATAACTTATAACTTTTTTTTGTCTTGTTAAAAAAAAAAAAACAAAAAAAGTTCGAATAATATGTGTGTGTATATGGTCAAAACGTACATGAGATGGGCTGAGGGTAACGTGAATACCAGCCCAAAAAAAAGTTCGAATAATATTGTGTGTATATGGTCAAAATGTACATGAGATGGGCTGAGGGTAACTTGAATACCAGGCCTAAAAACTTGAATACCAGCCCAAAAAATATAAGGTCCAGCAAGAGACAAAGTATATCCAGTACAACAAGAGCAAAGTCAAACCAGCCCAAATATATGGTTGGGACAACAAAGCCCAAAGAAAAGCCCAAGGCAACCAAATAAATAACCCTTAGTAATATAATGAATAAATTTGTATAACAATTATAAATGGATGGTCAAGACCTAAGTTACACAATCTTTCTCAACGAATATCGTTTTCATGTTCCGTGCGTGTTTTTTCTCTCAACTGCTTTCGAATTTGCTCTCGCTCTTATTCCCGTTTTATGTGACTTAGGTCAAAACTCTCTATTTTCTATCAAGGATTATACGGTGACCTACATGTATTTTTTTTAATTACAAATTCTTTACCACCTTGAAATAAAACATCTTATTTGTATGATTTTTGTTCTGTCGTTATCTATGAAATTAAAATTTTAAAAGTTTTAATTCTAGAGCTGCAAATGAAATAGACTATTCATCAACGGCTTAAGTTCAGTAACAATTCAAGTGACAAAAAGTCATGGCGGAATTTATTTTCTATGCTTATTTGATAAACAAACAAGCTTTAAGGCATGTTCATGAGCAAGTGTTCATAAAGAGTGTTAGCGAAACTTATTTACTATGGATTGATTCGAATTTGTAATTATTTTGATACCAAGTTTGAAACTGAGATCCATCTCAATGCCAGAACGGCAACAACAACGAAATTTTTTTTTTTTGGATCGGTTACATGAATTTCATATTTCCATTTTGCTTTATTTAAGACTCTAGACTCAGTCATTCACATGTTATTTTAATTTATCTTAAATCCTTAGTTCTAAAGTTTCTCTGCAACTTCCAAGTTGACAATTAACTCATTCTACTAGTTTCATCAACTAAAACAATATCATTGACAACTGAATCTCATCTTGAACGTGTCTTGTCAGTTCATCCATAACCAATACAAATGGGTATGGAGTTAATGTTGAACTTTGGTATAAGCCTACAATAATTGGAAATTATCTTTCTTTTCCCTGCACGTGTTCTAGCTACAGTCACATAGCCATCATACATATATTTTAGGGTAAAGTGCAAAAAACCCCCTTCAACTATTGGCCATGAAGCAGAAAATCCCCCTGATCTATTAATTTGACATATAACCCCCTTGAACTAACCAATTTGGTGCAATTAACCCCGTCCGGGGACAAGTCGGTTGAATTTGATCGTAAAGACGCATATGATCGGTCACGTGACTATTCAAATTTTTTTAAATGACCATACAACCCTTTAAGCTAAGTGAATCAAATGACACATGTACCCTTATTATTGTCTAATCCGGGATAGTGCTCGAGCCGCAACCAAACAAGGCCTAAGTAAAGCCCAAACACAAAAAAAAAAAAAAAAAAAAAAAAAAAAAAAAAAAAAAAAAATCCAAAATCGAGTAAGAGGGGTCGGCTGTGAAGAGCTCGTCTGCGATGGAGGGGTCGGCTGTGAAGAGGTCGTCCGGTGAGGGTTTGACCGGCAATGGAAGAAGAAGCTCGGCTGTAAGATTGCGACGCAGCGCGGCTCGGTGGGATGGAACGGCTGTGAAGAGCTCTTCCACGATGGAGGGGTCGACTGTGAAGAGCTCGTCCGGTGAGGGTTTGACCGGCGATGGAAGAAGAAGCTCGGTTGTGAGATTGCGGCGCGGCGCGGCTTGGCGGGATGGAACGACAGTGGCCACCACTGCAGTAGATCGATTTATTGAGGACGATTTGGTAACCACCTGCAAATCAAGACCGGTGGTCGTGTTGTGCGTTCTTGGCTTTCAATTTGGGGTTTGGATTTGGTGTTCGTGGTGGTGGTTGTCTCACAGTGTAGATCAAAACCTGCAGCCACTGCCACCTCTTCTGCTTCAGCTTCTGCTTCACTGCCACAAGAATAACCAGTGGCTCTATCGCCGAATGAACCCATTTTGTCGCATATTTGATTGAATAATTTTTCTTAATCAGGTGGAATCAATTGCAGGACCTTTGTTTGCACCATCACAACAGAGATCGTGAGGAAAAGGCGAAACCGCTTGTTGGCTTTTCGAACGTCTTGAATGCTCCTGCCCAGAAGCCGTGTTGGGACGACTGGGAGTTCCCGGCGGAGAGGTTGAATTGATTTTAGAAACCGGCAAGCACTGAATCACACCAGTTGTCGTTCTTGTCTCGCGACCACCATTGATGCCGTTGAAGCTTCGTGATTAAGGTGCTCGACCCATAGCGCATATACGACTCAGTTAATGAAATGGGTTGCCGTCGCCGGAGAAGCTGCATGGCACGGTTCAGCGTGGGTATGTCTGTCATTGATTGAAGCTCCCCTCCATGTCACCATGGTCATAAGGTTTCTTTTATAAGGGTAAAATTGTCTTTTACTATTTTCGTTTACACCAATTGGCCGGAGATGTCACATTGGGGGTCAATTGCACCAAATTCAATAGTTCAAGGGGGCAAATTGTAATTCAGGGGGGTTAATTGCACATGGCCAATAATTGAAGGGGTTTTTTTGCACTTTACCCTATATTTTATTATGTCAATGTATTCTTTTGTGACTTCTTTCTTTTCTAGAATTCTGCAGTTTAGGTCTCTAGGTATCCTATATATTACACGCTTTCTCCAAGTCAATAGAAATCATATGGAGATCTCTTTTCTCTCTGTATCTTTCCATTCATGTCCTTAATCTATAAGTAAATATCCTGCATCATTGACCTATTCGGCATGAGACGCTCTCATCTCTTGTCTGAGGTGTTGTTTAATTACTCTCCCAAAATTTCATAGCGTGGCTCATTAATTTAATACCATGGTAATTATTACAGCTTTGTAAGTTCTTTCTATTTTTTATATATAGGTACTAAAATACCTTGGCGCGACTAGTTCATCGTAGCAGTTGTCATTATCTTGTTAACAATTTGCTCTTCTCGGTTTCTTCTGCATTTCTGACCTTCCACTCTTTGAACATACCAAAAAAAACATATTCTTCTAAGCCTAGACTTCCCATATATTTTTAATTTGGCCACAATTCAGTAAAAGTCCATATAAGATATATTTTGACAGCCACTAATAATAGTATGTTAGTGTTTCTTTGATCATTTCTGTGAGAACCCTCTAAGTCAGACTTGTGGCAGGCAAGCGTTCCATGTGTTATACTTCATCAACATAAATTCAGACTAGTGTACAATAATTGAATCTGGAGTCCGACAAACACACACACACACACACACATATATGTATACACAATTTGTCTAAATCATTGTCAAATAAGCCAGAATCACTTCAAATTTTAGAGGGTTAAGTATAAAATGACAATAATACTTCTACTTCAATTAAATAAATTAATAATTATAAATACAGGTAATATAAAATGACTTTTTTATCTATTTTATTTTCTTTTTATTTTTTATTTTTTTAACTTATGGTTCTATCAAAGAAGTTCCGAAGTGGGCCATGGGATGTTGAACAATTCAGTGGAATCCGTCTTATAACCAACCTTCTCTTCAACTTCAAGCTCATCACAAATTCAAAGGAGAGATGGTCCTTGGAGGAAGAGAAAATTGCAGTAATTGTTAAGAGAGAAAACAATGGTTTTCTAGGAACCCGAATCAACAAACGGTTAGACTTGTTGTATGTAAATAATTTTGAATTTGAATGAGTACAGATTGTCCATTGAAGAACCCATTCATAGCCAGAGGAAGGTTGGTCCCTTATGTGGTGAAAGACAGAGAGGACTCGTTTATGGCAACGGTGGATTTGCCTGGTATTTCCAAGGACGATTTGAGGGTTTGGGCTGAAACCCACTTTCTCCACATCAAAGCTGAAGAAGTGGAAGACGGTTTTGATGGACCTGTTTTCGATGAAGACATCGACGATAAAGAGGAAGGTTTGAGGAAGTACTTTGGGTCAATCACAATTCCAGAAGGTGAGTACTATAAGATGGACCAGATCGAGGCTCAGATGAGGAACGGTGTTCTCAATGTAATGTTTATGTTTTGTTATTATATATATATATATATATATATATATATATTGTAAAAAGGCAAGAGATTTTTTTTAAGTGGTGGGACCCACCACTTATTTGATTTAGTAACCAAGAGGCCATATTTGGCCTCATTTTTCTCTCCCTCCCGTAAAGCTTTCTCTTTCGCTCTTTTCTTATTTTTCTTTCTTTCTTCGTGAATTTCAATCCTTGCTTACTCTCTCAATTTTAAGAATTTGTTAGTGTTATTTGCGGCAAATCGAAGAGTTCGTTGTGATCTTCACTTTATAGGAGCAATTCACCATTTTGCCCAGCCCTTGAATTTCGAATTTTGGGTTCATTTTGGGAGTTTTTGCATCTAAGTGAGATAGGGGTTTCTAATTCACATTTTCTTTGATTTTTGTAAATTATTCTCCTTAATTTGTGTTTTAGCATGCTCAATTTGTATAAATTCCTTGTAAAGTTGCTTAAATGTTATATATGAAATATGTGATTGTGTGTTATTTGGTATTTGAAGGTGAAACATGCTTAATTGATGAGAATTTATGCCCATTGTGTCTTTAGTGCTAAATTTTGTGATTAGAAAACATGAAATATATTTTAGAATTTTTCTTTTGTTGCAAAGCATGTATATTGTTGAATATTAACTTGGTGAGCATGAATTTCTCTAATTGCACGACATTGAAATATATGAGACATTCATGCATGACATTAGGCAATGAAATGGGAAAGTTGGTTTGAAATGAAAGAAAAAGAGATTTTTGGGAAAAAGTTTTGATAAAATAGTTTGCGAAAACTCGGTAGCCTAGGAGTTGCCTAGGGTCCGTGGTGTTAATGTGATCTAGAGGGAATTAAAGAGACCGCCCTAGCGTGGTTGAGTTATTTGGGCCCCAAATGACGCCATGGAGTTGCCATGAGTCAAGGATAGTAGCCAATCATTTTCTTGTGCCGCCATGGAGTTGCCATGGGACGGGTTATATTAACGGTTTGAATAGTGATGAATGGAAGGGATTTTTAAATGGGGAGTGACATAACATGGCATTGCATTCCATAGTATGACATTGTTTATTTATGACCTTGAAATTGTGTTCTATTTTTTCTCTGCATGATATGATCCCGCTTTCCCTTATTCATATTCACTGTTTGGATTCACGGGGTAACAAGAGGTGTGTCTTAGGCACTACCTACTGAGCAATTTGCTCACCCCTTTATATTAATATTTTCAGGTCACGGCAAAGAGGTGGCGGACGATGATCCACCACAAGTTTAGACGAGATTGGAGATCTACTTATTTTGCTATCTTTTGTATTAGAACTTTAATATTCTATAAATGTAATCTTAACTATTTTGTGAAACTTTAATTTAATTAATATAATGTTGTAAGTTATGGATTTTTAAATTTTAGTTATATTTCATGGACTGTAACTGATATAATTAAAATACGCTCCTCATAAAGGATTATGAAACTAGGTAGTGAACTAGTGATTCCTTATTTGGATGTAATAGAGGAACAGGACCTTTTTATATGTATGTGATTATTTTGGGAATATGGTATATTATTTGCATTGTGTGTTGTGACAGAATAGATTAGTTTTAAGACCAAGTGAGGTCATTACATTTTTATGTATTTCAACAGGTTGTAGAAGGACTTTTTCTGCGGAGTTATGCCAAAATTCTATATATTATTATTATTATTATTATTATTATTTTGGTGTTTTTTTGAGTCGTTACAAATTTGGTATCAGAGCGATGGTTCGAAAACCCTTAGGACGACAGGTAAAGGCCTGCGTAGGGTTGTGTGGGAAGTTATTTGTATATCTTTATGGCTATTTCCTAAAGTGTTTTGTTATTTGAAAAGCTTGCTTAACTACTTACTTGCTTACTTGCTTATGTGTTTATGCCAATATGCTTATTGTATAGCCTTACATGTTAAGTGTTAGTATAGTATCATTTTGTATTGAGTCGTTCATAGTTGGACCTTAGTGTCATTGTTGTTGAACTGTTTTCTAGTTTTTTTAGCACAATGCCACCGCGAAAGGAAGCAAGGGGAGTTAGCCTTAGGTCGACAAAGGGTGATGTTGGTGAAAGCTCTAACTCCAATCCAGCGGAGCCCGTTAAAGAGGATATACTTTTTAGGGACTTGATTCCCCTAAGAGGTGTCTCCACTAGAAGGGATGATGTTGAGACGCCATTGAAGAGGGTGAAGGTTCGGCTAAACTGGCACTGAATCGTTTGTTGTAGAATGCTTTGAGAGTTACGATTGTTTCTCTTCCGCAGCCGATACCGCAACCGGTAGTTCAAACAGAGGAGACGGAAGCGCATAAACGTCTCAAGTTGATTTCAGGATTTGTGAAGCTAATGCCAGTAATGTTTGAGGGTGTGATACTCCTCGACTCCGAGACATGAGTTGGTCAGGCCCAAGCCCAAACCCGAGAGAATATCAAACAATTAAAGTATTTAACAAGCATAGAATACAAAATAGATTTAAGAATAAAGAATAAAGTTAAAATAAAATAAAATAATAAAATCCTTGAATAATTAATCCAATAATAAACCTCTAATAAAAAAATTCTCTGATACCAGTAATTAATTAAAATTACAACTTGGAAATCCATTATGTGGACCCTTAATCCAAAATCCAACTGAAATAAAATAATATCTTACTAAAACAATAATAAGGAAATCATATGTTAAGACGGAGGAGTGAATAGATCGTCTCTACTTAACACGAATAATCCCTAAGCCTGGAACTGACGAACACCAGAAAAATAATGGTGGCTCAGACCCACAAACAAATTATAATCTACTATGTCCCAAATAGAGACTCAGAACTCATATACATCCTAGTCGATCTAACAATAACTAAATAGTTCGTATATATATAGATACACACTAAAGGAACCTCACTAGACTATAGGGTTGTCTCAACCTGAATAGTAGGCAACATGCAAAACGCACATATAGTGGGCATGAGTACCTAGACCTACCAGGGTACACAACTACACTATATCTAGCTACACATTCCTGCCAATATACATACCCTAACCATGATCCTGAGATTCAAGTTCATATCATAGCATATAACTATATATATTTATAATCCGTCATATCCAAACATAAAATAAATATCCGGTATATCATCCAACTGATCAGTTGACCTGACATGAAAATATGTAGGATTTAATATTTTAGTTAATCTATTCTGTTATAATGAATAGGTAAGATTTAACATTTTTAGTTAATCTGTCCCTAATATGCCACCATCCCATACTGGTGCATATAATGCATACAATCCATAAATGATGCTACAGTTATAATATCACATCAAATAAATCCATACATATCATGATATAAATTATACATATATTCCTTTGTATTTAATTGAGCAAAAATATAACAACTCTAAGTAGCATGCATTTAATTTATCTCATAAAGATTAACATGCATTTCAAAACCAAACCTTTAAATCAAATTTATTTAAGACCAAATAATTGATTAAAATAATTTAATCCTATCATATTGAATTAATTTAACCTTTCCAATTAATTAAATTCCATATTTAGCCAATAACTTTTAATCATACTTTTACAATCCTTCATAAATCTAATTTAACAATTTAAAAACCATTAAAACAAATTTAAACAATATATATACACACATAGTATACAAAACCCATTATATTAATTATGTATACTTTAATTTCAGTTTTAATCATGCAATTAGGTTCAATTAAGTTAATTAAATAATCCTGGAACTAATCTAGCATGTATATAATTTTAATCAAAGGAAAATAGAAGGAAAGAACTTGCCTTAAGGATTTTGATTTCTAACCCCCTTTTACTAACCTATATTTATATATTTATAGGTTAAATAAAATAACCTAATCATTTTTCCAATCCAAGTCAACTTAATAAAAGAAAATAATAAAATTAAAATATTAAAAAGGTAACGAAAAATATATCATGTACATAATCTATGTATATCATTATTACACAAATATATAAAATATATATATCAGATTATTAATACTAAGTTACAATACTATTAATTAATAAATTTCTTTCCTTTTATATATATATATACATATAGATATATATATATAAAACTATCCATGGGTAACTAAAAATATGTTACGTATATAATCTATGTATATCCTTATTATACAAATATAAAAATATATACATCAGATTATTAATACTAAGTTATAATAATATTAATTAATAAATTATTTTCCTTATATATATATATGTATATCTATATATATATAACTATCCATGTGTATCTAAAAATATGTTACGTATATAATCTATATATATCCTCATTATACAAATATAATATATACATTAGGTTATTAATACTAAGTTACAATAATATTAATTATTAAATTAATTTATATATATATATATATATATATATATATATATATATATATATATAAAACTACCTATGGGTAATTATCTTTACCCATTAAACCTTCTATCCAAGTAGTTCATGTGACCCAATTGGTTGGTCCATTACTACTAACCATATCCATAAAATAAAATAAAATAAAACAAAATAAACATTTAATTATTTAATCTACAATTAATTACAAATAAACAAAACATATCAATTAAATCAACTAATTCAAATAACATTCAAGCATAAACCTTCAATTAATCAGTTATGTCAAATAAAACATTTAAACAAATAAAATATTTAATTAACAAACTCAATTAAACACATAATCAAATAGCCAAATAATCAAGTAAATAAATAAAATGTAATTAAAATATTAAAAATAATATCGAGACTATCCTTTTAAAATTAGGGGTATTACATTCTTCCCCCCTAACAAAAGGAATTTCGTTCTTGGAATTCGCCCTTACCTTCTTCCATTATTTCTGAAAATGTGGAGCTAATGACATCCTTCTATTCTCAAGTAGATTCAGCCTCATTATGTTTGCTCCACTGGACACGAAACCAAAGGTATAACCTTATTGCGAAGAATTTGATCCCTACGGTCTATAATACGACACGGCGGTTCCACATATGTTGCATTCGGTTGCAACTTAATCTCACCAACAACAATATGTTGATAACGATCCTCATCTCGCAAAAATTTCCGTAACATGGAAACATGAAACACGTTATGGACACGATTTAAGTTGTCCGGAAGTGCTAAGCGATAAGTTACCGCTCCAATTCGATCCGTAATAATCAAAAGGACCTACAAATCATGGTGACAACTTTCCTTTCTTTCCAAAACGCATTACTCCTTTCATAGGAGACATTTTGAGTAAAACTTGATCTCCAACCTGAAACTTCAAAGTACAAGTACGACGATCTACATAACTCTTTTGCCTACTCTAGGCAGTGCACATGCGATCCTTAATAATTGTTATCTTTTCCGAGGTATCCTTAATGAATTCAGGACCCAAGAATCTACTCTCTTCAACCTCCATCCAATAAACAGGAGATCTACATGGTCGGCTATATAATGCCTCAATCGGTGCTATACCAATAGTCTTCTGAAAACTATTATTATATGCAAACTCTACAAATGGCAAATACTCATATCAGAGTGGCCCTTAAAGTCAAGGACACAAGAACGAAACATATCCTCCATTAGCGGATTAACCCACTCGGTCTGTCCATCTGTTTGAGGATGATAAGCAATGTTAAGTTACAACTCTATACCCAAAGCTTGCTGAAAACTCTTCCAAAATCCTAACATAAAGCTTGAATCCCTATCCGATATAATAGATAACGGTATGCCATGTAACTTTACAATATATGTAATGTAAAGTCTCATCAACTGTTTCGAAGTGTAAATCAGTGCGAATAGGCAAGAAATGAGCTAATTTAGTCAATCTATCAACGATGACTCGAATGAAATTGTGATCCTTAAACAAATTAGGCAATCCCTCCACAAAATCGATAGAAATGCTCTCCCATTTCCACTCTGATATAGGTAGTGGCTGTAAAGAACCTGGCGGTCTCTGGTGATCAATTTTAACCATCCGACAAGTACTACACTTGGAAACAAAGATAGCAATGTCTTTTTTTCATACCTGCCCACCAAAACTACCGTTTCATATCCTGATACATCTTGTCTCCTCTTGAATGAATAGCAAACTCAGATCTGTGAGTCTCAGTCATCATATCCCTCCTCAATTTGTCAGCAAAAGGTACCACTAAATGTCCCTTGCACCTTAAGCCTCGATCTGTCCCAACATGATTAAATGGAACCTTTCCAGAATCTATCTTTGCAACTTTATCAATGCACTGCTGATCCGTAAGTTGTGCCTTCAAAACCTTGTGAATGATAGAAGGTGTAACTACCATGCAAGCCATGAAAGGATCGGACAACTCATCAACCATCTTCAAAGCATTTCACACAGTAGTGAATAATGTAGAAAGACTCATATGAGGTTGGCGACTGAGTGCATCTGCCACCATATTCACTTTCCTTGGATGGTACTATATAAAGAAATGATAGTCTTTCACAAACTCTAACCATCGATGCTTTCTCATATTTAACTCCTACTGAGTGAACAAATATTG